AGAGAAAATATTAATGAAGGAAGAAGAAAACTCAGATTTATTTGATGATATTATTTCATAAGAGGAAGTAAAACTCTCAGCATCAACGGGGTGGTGGCGCAGTTGGCTAGCGCGTAGGTCTCATAGCTTTATAGAGTAATCCTGAGGTCGAGAGTTCGAGCCTCTCTCACCCCATTAAATTTTTATTGTTGCCCATCTTATGACATCATATACTCCACATTTTATTCAATTGATTATATTATTATTATTATTATTATTATTATTTTAAGTTTTAATATTTTTTTCATCTTAATATAATATTTTGACAAACAGTGTATTAGGTTTTCCTTTTAATATAAGATATGTGATATATAATATGCCAAAATATTATCCCATTCTATTTACGCCAAGTCAATTTTGTTTAGTATATATTTAATTTTTTTGCTTCATCATTTTAATGTTAATAAATTGTATTATACGATATACTAGAAACTTACCGGCGGTGTCTGGCACAGCAGGTACATATGATTTTAATTTTTTTATTTTACTTTTTATGAAAAATAATTTTATATTTTGTATAAAATTAAAAATATTTATTTAATTATATATTTTTGTTTTTTATGATTCTCATTTTTTATTTTTATTTTTATTTGAGTTTTATTTAATATTAATTTTTTGTTTCATAAGAGATGTATTTTTTTAAGCACGTAAATGTATTCAGAAGTTTTTAATAGGATTTTTTTTTTTTTTTCGTTTGATCAGTATTTTTTATAGAATAGGAAAATAGATTTTTATTGTCATTAGAGAAAAATAGTAGTTTCAAATATGGAATTACTATTTGATTGACAAAAATGATATTATTTTTAATTTATGTAATATAAAATTTTAATGTATTATATATGTAAAAAATAGCAATTTGAGTTTTGTTTTTTTGTTATGAAGGTTTGTTATATGACCATTTCTCGATTTATGTGTGTCATCGTTGCGTATGGGTCATGCTAATCATCTCTGTATCGTTCCAATTTTATTGGATGTCCCCGAAGGGACAAGCTTTGTCATATGAATAAATTTATGTTATTCAAATAGAAAATTCTAAGTTTAATGTGTTTGAGCCAAAATAATTTAAAATAACTTATAGTTAATTAAATTTGTGGTCCTCTTTCTTAACTAATATAATTTAGTATTCATTAATTTGTAATTTCATTTTTCTCTACATTCGAGTTCATATTGAGCACAAATTTTAAATTTTAGAATAAGAAATATCTACTTTTAGTAATCAGATACCAACTGCTACATTTTTATTTATTGCCAAAAAAAAAATTACTTGGTTGCGTTGCTTTTTAAGGAGTAACAAGTCAACAAATTTAATGAAGAAAAAATAGAGGGCCGAAATCCATAAACTCCTGCAACAAGGTCACACTCATAAATCGTCTAGCTCATACCTTTTCAATTCTATCAAAAAATTGGTAAATAGACTAATCGTTAAAACTCAAAACCAACCCAACAGCCAAAGTTCAATCATCCTCATAACAATAGAACATTTACAGTAGGACGTAAAAATAAGAGTGAGTGTCTGAAGAAAAATAAATGATATAATGCCTATGGACAAATTGTACCATTTATTAAATCTAATTCATAGTTATAATGAAAGCTAGTTCCATCATACAAATCAGACCAGTGACCTTGTTTGTCATATTACAACAAACGGATTTACTACCAATACTCAGGTTTTTTTCCTCCCAGATTTCAAAACAATGGACCACACAAAATCCACAAAACAACTTGTAAGTTTAGATAATTGAGTAAAACATTTAAGAAGATGGACCAAATTTAGTCTAGAAACACATCCATTAAAGCAAAAAATACACGAGCAAATCGTTAAATATTATAGTATATAGATAGGTTGGGAAAATAGGGGCAGAGATAATGGAGTTGCTCATCAACACCAAGTCCAGTCCCCTCCTTCGGCTATCGCGAGTCATCCGCCCCATTCTCTGATGCTCCTCTCCTATCTAGAGCCATCGAATCTTCAACCGTTTGACGTCCATTATAATGCGAGTCTGTATTAAAAAATCATGAAAAATCTACTTATATCTAGAGCCATCGAATCTTCAACCGTTTCAAAAACATTTATAACTTACAAATTACGTCTAGAATAGAAATTAAAATGTAATATTAATCCTCTTAAAAAAGACCATAAATATCTAGTATATTATGGCAATTTCAAACTTAATTGTTCTTGGATTGAGAGTAAATTAAAATCCATCCAGCCCAGATGACAAAACATGAAAATTTGTCACATAGGATCCCAAATCATGCGAGACTGCCACTTAGGCTTAACACATTCGAAAATTATATATGTAAGATATCTACTTTTAGATTATGAACATAAATATTTCAAACTTATGTAGAAATACTCAAAATAAAATTAGCATGTTACTTTATAAAAACTATAACTTAATATATATACATATATGTAATTCATTTCATAAGAAATTTTATTGTTCATTACTATTAAATTAGGTTTGACTGAAAATTGTTAGTTATTTTATATAAAAGAATAATTATTAGTTTTATATATAAAGTATTTTTGTAAAAAAATTGAAGAGGAAACAAATCCCCCTATATCCCCTCTATATATATTAATACAGAACGCGCTTGACTGTTTCTGGTGCTTCGAAATCTTATGTGGCAAAATTACATGCTTCGTTATTAGGCTTGGGTAAATTTTAATTTAATTCCAAACCAAAAATAATTAGGTTCGGATTACCATAAATATGTTGATTATTTATTGTCATGTTACATGTATTAATTGTATTTTAATATCATTCCTTATTATAAATTGAATTGTATATATATTTTGAAAGTTAATAACTTTTGTATTTTTTATCAGTTTTACATATGTAATATATCAAATTAATCTTCTTTTGATAAGCTTCGATTTAACATCCATATTGTATGTATAAAAAAAATAATTTATATTTATCTTTATAACAATAATAAAATTATTTGT